CCACTGACCAAATGAAAGAATTGAACAGCTGCCTAAAATTGCACCGGCTGGAGACATCTTAATTCTGTCCCCAGCACCCCCGCCGGACATGAAGCTCTGCCACGCTGACCATCTCCACTCTGCACCCTGTGAAGGCACCTGTGGGAGAGACTACCAGGTCAAAGCTCTGATCGCTATTGCCAGGAAGGCAGTGCCCACCTACTCCCCCCGGCTTCCCACACCCTCCGCCACAGCAGAGGTTTACTATGATGATGGCTTTTATTTCTCGAATGAACTAACGCTATTTAGAGACTCCACCCTGGGTCCTCAAATCTCCTTTTGTCCCTCCTGAATAAATGAGAGGACTCATCCTTTATTGTTTCTGAGCCGCCCTCGCCCTCGGGAGCCCAAACCCACAGTAAAGAGTCATTCTCTAGACAGTAAACAGTTTACAGATGCAAAATCTGAAACATCTCTTTGACTTCTAAAAATGGACAGGTTAATTTTTTTTTTAACTGTCAACTTCAAGCAAGTATCCACTGACCCCTCCCACAATACAAAAAAGAAGAGAAAATGAGGACTCCTACCCTCTCTCTCTCTTTCTCTCTCTCTCTCTCTCCCCCTCCCCATCCCAGTCTAGGGTAGCCAGATTTAGCAACTCAAAATACAGGACACCTACTTAAATGTGACTTTCAGATAAACAACAAATAAAATTCTTAGTGCAAGTATGTTCCATGCAATATTTAGGACACGCTCGTGCTAAACAAATTCATTGTGTATCTGGAGGTCAAATTTAACTGGGCATCCTGGTTTTTATCCCTTAAGCCTCCTGCAGCCCCCACCCAGCAGCAGCCGAGGCCTCCTCTGCCCCCTGCCCAGCCCGCTGCCCCTCACAGTCAGAAAAGTCTCCAGAAGCATCGCCCCTACCCACACAGCACACCTGCCACTCAGAGATGGCCCCACCAACTTCCCTGGTATTGGAGTTGCCATCCCCTCAGAGCCAGCTGGGACCAGCTTCCTGCTCATCTCCCGTGGCCCATCGTGCAGGTGGGTAAGCACTATCTCTCGACCCAGCTGCCCCGGGCGTGTGTGTGATGTGACCCTCAGGTGGCAGCCCCTCGGGGGCTGCTGTTGCTACAGAGCCACCCCCCTAAGAGCGAGGCCCTCGCCCCGCCCAGTGCCTGATGGCTGCTGAGGTCTAGAGGTCGGCCCATTCCAAGCTTGGCTCCAGAGGCCCAGTCTAGCTCCGGAGCCAACCGTGGGTCTCTGAGGTTGCCTGTCGGGGCTACTTCGGAGCTCCACTTCTTCCTTCATCCTGTTCTGCCTGCTTCCCGCCCCGGCTGACCAGAGCCAAGACTCAGGGACCACCCCCCACCTGCACACTAATCCCCCCTCCACCTTCTACCCCACCTGTCCCCCGTCCTCACCACCCCCCATCCCCTGCCCCAGTCTGCTGCCCCTGGCTGGAAACCAGCCACAAAGTGCCTACATCAGGTGGGTGTGGTGCTGGCTAATGGATTTTATTTGGCTTTCCAGTACTTTCCAAATTTTCCACAACAAGCACATCTTACTTTGGTAATAAGAAAAATAAAAGCTGGGGCGCCTGGGTGGCTCAGACGGTTAAGCGTCTGCCTTTGGCTCAGGTCATGATCTTGGGGTCCTGGGATCGAGCCCCACATTGGGCTCCCTGCTCAGCAGGGAGTCTGCTTCTCCCTCTCCCTCTGTCAAAAATAAAATCTTTAAAAAAAAGAAAAAGCTTTTTTTTTCTTGAAACTTAATAAAAGTGTAAAACCAAGCATCCCTCCTCCACACTCACTCCTCCCCCATCCCTCCCACCTGTTCCCCCGGGAGGGAGGACTCCCCCCAGATCCGTGAACTCCCCCACCCCTCCACCCCCCCAACCCTGTCCCACCCCGCCCACAGGCCGTTTCACTTCTCCAGTGAAGGCTTTCTACCACCAGCCTATCCTTGCCGGGGGGCTATATGCAAATTTATGAGCAATTTCCTCAACTCCTATGGGGAGAAGAAAAATGCTTTATGTGTCCTGAGGTTGATGATGTGAGGGACCAATACGCATTCACTCATTCTACAAGTGAGCTAGAGCGACCCAGTGCCAGGCGCGGGGGACACTGGGGACAGAACACAGACTCTGCCCCTTGGACTTCATAGCCTGGCAGTGGGAAGGTGGGGCAACACCCCAATGCCCCAGAGGGTGCTGGGTGAGGGGAGGTGAGTGACCAGGATGCCCAAGTCAGGCAGCTTCTGGGAGGAACAGAAGTCTCAGCACCCCCCCTCCCCCGCCCCAGGGTGAGAAGTAACGTGGAGGGAAGAGGAGGGAGAGTGTTGGGGCGGGGGGCGACACCCTCCGCGCAGGCCTGCAGGTGAGAGAAGCATGACTTCCTTGAGGAAGTGAGAGCAGTTCAGAGGAGCTGGAGGGCAGAGGGAGGGTGAAGAGAAGGCGGAAACCCACACTTGGGGAGGACAACAGTGCCACATTAAGGAGATTGTCCTTTGTTCTCAGGGCAACGGAGAGCCACTGAAGGATGCAGAGCAGGGGAGTGACACAGGGTCAGGTGTGCATCATACAAAGGTCACACTCCTGCTCACTGATGTGGATTCTTATTCTCAGCAGCCACAACCCACAATCCCACCCACTGTGCTCGAACTTGAGCCGCGGAGCACCTGAAACCTGTATCTCCATGGAGACAGCAAGCCCCAGCAGCCAGCTCCACAGCCCTCTTGCTCTTGCAATAGGGAATACAGGTTAAGAGCATGGACTCCGGAGCCTAGGTTCAAATCCTAGCTCCTCCACTTTCAAACTGTGTGACCTTGGACAGAGAACGTCTCTGTGCCTCAGTCTCCTCATTTGTAAAATGGGGCTAATCCCGGTACCTACTTCATGGGGCTACAGTGAGGACTGAATGAGTTAGAGTTGGACCAGGACCTGGCACGTGACAAATGCCAAGTGCTGTTAGTTTTTACTGCTATTACTGCACCCTCTTCTGGAGACCCCCAGGGCCAACCCCCTACAGGCACTAACTAACCCATCCTCCACTTGCCTCCCCCTTCCCCTGAAGCACCCCTCCCATACTCTCTTACACTTGCCATGACTAGGGGTCAAGACAGAGCCAGAGAGGGGGATCCTCTAAAACAATCCCCACCTGGCTCTGGGGCCTCACCCTAGCTCCCTCTCGCCCCATGGAGAGAGTACTGGACTTGGAGCCAGGAACTGAGTGTCACCCCCGGCTCTGCTGCTGACCTTCTCTGGGCCTCAGTCTCCCCCTCTGTAAGGCCAGGACAAGAACATCTTGCAGATGTCTCATCAGCGTGGCTGTCAAAGGAGCGACAAGGGCTGGAGAAAGGTCTGCTAAATGTCCACATCTGTCACAGACCCCAGAACCCTTGGCCTCTCCTTCTGGCCTGGGTTTCCTCCTCCACACAATGGAGTCATGAGATTTGCTCCGAGCTCGCTATGAGGACTCGAGAAGCTAAGGACGGCCTGGCTGGGGCCTTCCCAGATGCCCTGAGGCTGATCAGGACTTTCCCAAGTGCTGGGACAGAGACAGACACCCATGGTCTGAGCTGGGCACCCCAGGAAGAGAGTGCCAACCCAGGGGCCTGAGGAAAGCCAGACCTTCCCCAGGGCCTTCCACCAAGTCTGGCTCAGGCCAGGAACTCAAACCGGGGGCCCAGAAAGACCCTCTGGAGCCATCGGGACTGTGACATTTATCTCCAAATGCCATAGGTGCCCATCAGTTGCAGGACCAGGAAGGGCCTAAATGGGACTCTCTGCCTTTGGTGGCCCTTGGTCCTGGGGGATGGAAAGAAAGCCCAAGAGGAGACTCACTCCCCATCTGCAGGTTGCCAGCTATCTCCCATAGTTCAAACCCATTCATCCATTCATTCCACAAACATTACGTGGTGCCAGACCCTGGTCAGGCACAGGGTCAGTGAGAGAAATGAATCAAACAGATTCCTACCCCGAAGGCACTTCTGGTCTAGAGGGTGACAGACAGGACATAAATAACTAAACCACAAGGCAGACTAGGTCGAGGAATGCAGGGCAGGAGGCAAGGATCTCACCTGGGCATCAGGAAGCTTCCTGGAGGGGGTGGTTTGTGAGTGGCGATTTGCATGTGACCGGAAGGTCAGGTGGGTAAGGGATAGAACCTCCACCATCAGGGACAGACAGTGCTGTTTGCACCCCAGCCGTGCCAGAGCCAGGGAAATGTGGGTTATTAATGGTTGTGCCCAGAGAAAAGCAGCTACATGTGTCACTGCACGTGGGGGGCAGGGCTGGGCTGCGGGGGGAGGGGGAGGTTGGGGGCTTGAAGCTGGGTCCGGCCAAGCTCTGGGGTTCGCCACCGCGGCCCTCACACCCTGATGACCTTTTAATCTTTTCATGCCCTCCGAAGGCAAAAATAAGAGGGAGAGGTAGTTCCAACAGGCAGCAAGTGGCCTGGGGGGTGAGGAGGGGAGCGGTGCCAGGAAGACCACGGCTTACGCTTACTTGCAGGCTAGGTAGCATCACCTCGTTCTCCCGCCCCCCCCATCCCAGGTATGGGGAAAGGGGTGGAGGGACAGAAGAAAAGATCTTTAACTGCAAACCAGACAGCACAGGGCGCATCAACTGCTGTGTTTCTCCCAGCCCACTCTGATCCATAAATAGCTTACGCGCCAAGCTGGCACAAGCCCACCCATCCCGCTGGGACCAGACGGCCCCAGGCCAGCCACTCGGAATCCCCGGGACTGGGCGCCAGCTTCCTCAGAAACCTGGTTCCTGCGTTTTCCCCCAGGGTCAAGGCCTCCGCCTCTAGCTGCCTTTCCCCAGGGGCCCGGCGCAGCGGCATCCCGGCACTGCCTGGGTGATGCCCGCGAGCCCCGGTGCCCGCAAAGCAGCCCCGGCCGCGCGCCCGCCGCTCTCCAGGTAACTGCCCAGTCCTCGCCCGCGCTCCGCAGGCACGCACTCGCAAACGGGCCCCCTCCCTGCGCACCCGCTACCCCAGACCCAGACCCCCTACCTGGGGGCAGGAGCGCCCGGCACCAGCGGCGGCGCCACGGGGCAGAGCTGGGCGTCTGGGGCCGGCCTCAAGCCCGGACGACTTCCCGGGGGAAGAGGAAGCTGCGCCGCCGCCGCCGCCACCGCCGCCACCGCGTCTCTCCGGACCGCGCCGGTGCTGCGGGAAGGAGGAAGGTCAGAGCCGAGGAGGCGGGGGGGGAAGGCGGGGGGGAGGCGTGCACAGATGGGCGCAGATTAGAGAGGCATTTTTAGCGAGCCAATGGCAGCTCGGCGCAGGGCGGCGCGGTGCCTGCGCAGGTGGAAGCGCCGCGGAGGCAGCACCCGGCTTAGCAGGCGCCCCCGGGGTAAGGGAGGGGGGGGCCGCCTCCTGGGGGTGCTCCCGGCTGGGCCACGGGGGCTCTGCGACGGACGGGCGGGCGCCGGGTGCACCCCCCTTTCCTCCTCTCCCGAGCCCTCCAGCAAGCGCGCCCTGGAGGGGCGACGGGGGGGCGCTCCCCTCCCTTCAGTGCCCTTTCCACACCTTCTGGGACCTTGCTCCCGCCCTGTCTGACCGTCCTGGCTAACAGTCCGTCTGTCGGTTTCCGGCCTCTCCTAACCCTGCGTCTTCTGGTCCGAGCGGGTGCGTGTATTGTGGGTGCGTGCGGCATGTGTGTGTTGCCGGGGGAGCGCTCTGGAGTGACGGCCCCTCCTCTCCCACCAACCCACCCTCCCCCCCAAAATCACCTTCGCCAAAGTTGACCCCCAAAGGGCAGCCGCTAACCCTCGTGGCCTTAGTTCCTGCTGGACCTGCTGTCATCAAGAAGACAGACCCTAGGCCGTCTCCTTGGGGCTCTGTGGGAGGCTTGTTGTGACCCCCAACGGCCTTCACTCTTCTTGACTTGAACCCTGAGTGTTTCCGGGAGCCTGGACACAGCAGGGGCACTGGGGCAGCTCTCCACCGCAGACACATACCAGGGGCTGATGACTTATTCAACACCTGTCTGTTGAGGGTCTACTAGCTGCCCGTGGGGGCTGGGCTACAGCAGAATACAAAACACCAAATCCCTGCCCTCAGGGAGTTCGCGTTTGTCAGGGAAAACAGATGTTGAATATAATAAATGGTATATTTTAAGATGTTACATACAAAGTAGGAAAATAAAGCCAGGGAGAAGGAAAGATAGAGTGTTCACAGGGCCATCAGGTCCCGGACATTCGTGGGGAATGGGAGTGGTGGAATTTGATTTTAAGTCCCTCAGGTAGGCATGCAAACTCTCCTTTGCCACAGACCTCACCACTCTCTATTGTGTGCACCTGGGCTGGCCACACATAATTTCCTGCCATCCCTCTCCCACCCCTCCTCGCCAGAGGCACTGAAATTCATGACCCAGGGGAATGTGGGTGAGCGGCGTTTATTCATTCAGTGAGAATTCTCTGAGTACTGACTGCATGTCAGGTGTAGAGCCTAGAGGAACTCAACACCTAATTAGGGAGGCCAGATGACAGTACCTACCGCAAGGATGAAGAGAGCAACCAAGCAAGTGGAGTGTCCCAGAAAAGGTCAAAGGGCTCTGGTTTAGGGCCAACCAGGAAGGCTTCCTGAAGGAGGCAGCATTCCAGTGGGTGTGCTGCGATTCTGATGAGCCGGATGTGGCCAGAGGCAGTGAAGGATTACTGAGACAGGCCAGCAAAGCCAGGAGACATTTGGCAGGTGGCTGGGCTGGGGTCCCGGAGCATGCTGGACCCCCTCGTGTCTGGAGCTGATGAAATCCCACGCTCTTCCCCACCCCAGAAGTTTCTGGTCCCAGTTGCCTTCTGTCAACCTGGAACTTCCCATTGCTAAGAGGAGGTGTGTTGAGCATGTTTGGGGGAGTTGGGGGGAGACAGAGATTCACTCAGTTGCTTATTTGCTGGGTAAAAAGGGACATATTACTTAACCCCTCCGAGGTTCAGCCTCCTTATCTTAATAGCTGTGTGTCAACTTACTTCATTGATCTGTGCCTCAGTTCCCTCATTTGGAAAAGGGGCACAGCAACAGCTCCGGCCTCACAGGTCATGTGAATGTTACACAAGACAATAAAGATGAATTGTTTAGCACATAAGTACTCAGAGAATTTTGTTGTTTTTATTATCATGATCAATACACTTGCTTCGCAGGGCGCCTGGGTGGCTCAGTTGGTTAAGCAACTGCCTTCGGCTCAGGTCATGATCCTGGAGTCCCGGGATCGAGTCCCACATCGGGCTCCCTGCTCAGCAGGGAGTCTGCTTCTCCCTCTGATCCTTCCCCCCTCATGTGCTCTCTCTCTCTCTCATTCTCACTCTCTCAAATAAATAAATAAAATCTTAAAAAAAAAAAATACACTTGCTTCGCAGGGTTGTTGGAATTAGGCAAAGGATGTAAGGCACCTAGCCTAGTGCCTGGAACATAATAGGTGTGCAATAAATCATATCTATTATTATCATTAACTGCACATACCCCTAAATCTCTCCCCTTTGGGTCTCCACAGCGCTGTGAAATTCCCCCGTTGGACAGAATTTTCTCAAGGTGAAGAGGCTAATTCCCCAAGAGCTCTTAAAGTGCACTCTAGATTGGATAGACTACAATACCTGCCCCTCCTCAACATCAGCCTGCCCAGTGTGTCATCAGGCTTTGATGCAGATGGAATGGAGCCCAGGACTAGTACGTTTTGAAAATGTAGTGAAGTCCAGAGCATAGGACACTGACTGATCAAAGATGTTCAGTGTCCCTTGGCAGCCAGGCATTTGGTGGAGGATGGCAAGAGTGGGAAGGGTATAGGCATCCCCAGGGGATGGGGGTCATCATGCAGAGAGTAAGAAAGGCTAGGGGGCTGGAGGTTGACAGAAGGTAGACCCAGTGAGGGCAACTGTGGGGAGAAGAATAGAGAGGCAGACCTGATTAGGCAGATGATGGAGGGAAGGGTAGGGAGGTGAGGGAGCGGGTAGGCTTGGCTTATTCCCTTTGGAGTTGAGGTATGCCCAGCCTAGAATTAAAACCCTAGCAAGCCTAAGCCCTGAAGAAAAAAAAAGAAAAAAGAGTAGAAAGTACACACACACACACGCACACACGCACACACACACACCTGTCCATGTGTAAACCAAAATAATATGTTATTTTGGAAATTGACACAGAACTCTCCTGCTTCTTAAAATTGAACTAGTTTCCTTCCAGATTTTCTGCTTGCAAATCTTATGCTCTTCAAAGCTGACCCCTCCATCTCCCTCTCCCTCTATTATTCTGTGCCCCATCCAGAAAGTAAGACATTTATCCGTTTCGCTCCTCAAGGCACTTTTCACATCTCTTGTTTCCCCAACAATTTTTCTCAGTCCTACTAAGGGTTCCAGCCCATCTGGGATTCAATGGGAACTTCCTCCCCACTGAGAACCCCAAGCCATGCCTTGGTCATGCTAGCCTCCTCTGCTAGACTCCACATGCCATTCAGAGTGAGGAGGCAGGCATAGCCCTCCCCAGATGAGTTTCTAATGCAGACAAGTCAAAAAGGACATGTAGACAGGAGGATAGACCAGCACTGAACAAGCCTGTGGAATCAATCAATGAGGAAATAACGGATTAGTAACCCATATCACATGTTTCGCCTGGGAGAGGTGGAGGGGAGATGGGAAAGATTTGGAGTCCTTTTGTTCCATCCAATATGGAAGGCTTCAAGGAGGAGGTGAGGTTTGAGTTTCTCTATACTCACCACATCTCTGGTTGGAAAGGAAGGGCAGGGAGTGTGTCCCAATTTTGGCAGAGTGGGACTCTGAAGCCCAGAGAGGAAGAGAGACTCGTCAAGGTCACACAGCGCACTGGTGTCAGAGCTGGGCTAAAAACAGATCTCCTGACTTCTGGTCAGGTGCTGTCATCACCAGACGCCTCTACCTCCCCCGCAAACCTGCACGGAGCTGGGGCAGGACAGAGCAGGGGAAAGCCATTGGCCCAGTAGCCCATGATTTTTTATTTTCCGAGCTGCCTCCCAACAGCATGCACGAAGGTGAGCAAGACACCCCCCAGGGACAAAAGTACTTTTAAAACAGCCTCACAGCCCCTTCTGCCCTCTCCTTATCTTCCCACCAGCTGGCTTCACACTTGCAAATTGGTTTCCATCACCTGCCTGGTGGACAGAGGCTACTGGCAGCTGTGCCCTGAATCTGGAGACCAGGGTGTCGGGAGTCTTGGAATCGTAGCTTTCGGGGCGCCTGGGTGGCTCAGTCGTTAAGCGTCTGCCTTCGGCTCAGGTCATGATCCCAGTGTCCTGGGATCGAGCCCTACATCGGGCTCCCTGCTCAGCAGGAAGCCTGCTTCTCCCTCTCTCACTCCCCCTGCTTGTGTTCCCTCTCTCGCTGTGTCTCTCTCTGTCGAATAAATAAATAAAATCTTAAAAAAAAAAAAAAAGGAATTGTAGCTTTCTCTGGCCATGAGTCATGCCAGGAGGGTTAAAAATGCCCTGAAGACCTATTGTCTTGACAAGGCACTCCATCTTGGGAGGTGCCCAGATTTAGGAGCCAGATTATGCATGAGAGAGGGTTTGCCCTAGGACATACATAGACAGTGGCAAACTCAGAGCATTCTTCTGGGACCGGGCGCTTTCTAAGCACTTCATGCATATTAACTATGGGGATAGGCACAATTACCAGCCCATTGACAGACAGGGAAAATGGAAGCCCAGAGAGGTTAGGTAACTTGCCTACGGTCACACAGCTGGGATTCAAACCCAGGCAGTCTGGTTCCAAAAGCCAGTCTCTTAGTCACTTAGCTAGGAAAGAAGCAAACACTTCCTGAGGGTCTTACTGTGCACAGGAGGATTTTGCATGATCGCATTTAGTGCTGTTATCCCTATTTTACAGATGCGGTAACTGAGGCTTAGCCAGGTCCTTCGGTAAGGCCTCTCAACTTATAAAAAAGGACTTCCAGATGGTCCAAAGGATTTCTGCTCTGGAGCACACCGCAGTGGCCTGGACACCATCGCCACCTAGTGGCATTATACCTTAAATGCAGGCAGATTACCTAAACAGAAGCTAGGTATCAAGTTCAATACCCAACAAAGATTTTGTGTTTTGGCTTGGATTTTAAATATCTGTGTCCCGAACAACAGAGAGATGTAGTTCACTAATAATCTTTTATTTTATTTTATTTTATTTTATTTTATTTTATTTTTAAAGATTTTATTTATTTATTTGAGAGAGAGAATGAGATAGAGCATGAGAGGGG